GGCGGTGGTAGCGGCTGGGGCGGTGGTGGCGGGAGAAGCAGGTGTTGTCTGAGCAGCAGGAGTAGTAGCTGCACTGGGAGTGGAACCTGAAGTGAGGGAGAAATGTCCGGCTGAGACACTGGCTCACTCCGGAGTCTCCTGGGGGGCGACAGTCTGTCCCTGCTGGCGCCGGACGACACCCCCTCCCGCCTCACCCCCGTCTCCGGCTCTTGGTGGGAGAAACACTTGGAAGTTTCCTCCAAGGACCGAGCGGACACAGCAGGCAGCATGTAAGTCCCCCCTGACGCAGCCCAGAAGGCCGGTCCACGTGGCTCCCGGCGCGGAGCTGAAGCTCAGGGGCACGGGACCCCCCAGACTGGCTCCCTGCGCCCCCAGAGCAAGCGGAGCCTGAATAGCGTCAGGCAGGGTGCGCCCAGACGGGAGCCCGGGGACTGCGGGTGAGTCTTTACAGGGCAGGGAAGCTGCTTTGCTTTTCTTTCTCCAAGACCGTTAATCAGTAACGCTTATCTGTACACCAGCCATGCAGAGGTGAGTCCCCGACTGAGGCGGTTCCCAGACATTAGGAGGCTCAAGGTGTGCAGACAGGAACAGCCCCAGATTCAAGGATCCTGCCCCAGCCCAGGTCGCCTCGACCTTACAGGAACATATTTAACCGCACCCCCCAGGACAAGTAGGACACGTGAATCACTGAGGCCTCCTGTCAAAGACACCAGGCCAAGCTGTGGGGGAAACAGACGCACACATCACACCTGCCTGGGCCAGGCACACACCTCACAGAAGGTGCGGACACTGGGGATGCCCAGACTGACCAGGGGCTTTGGTGCAGAATATTGTGTTTCAGAAAAGAGAAGACAAAGAACAGCCCGGAAACAACGCAACACACACACACGTCCCTATGTCCAGTTCTCCTCTGCCCACCTATGGGTCTGATTCCTCATTTCATTTTCCCTTAGGAATGAGCCTTCCTCCTACATTTTGCTACTAACAGGTATCTCATTTATGCATGCTGCTAGAGTCTGGCCTGCAATTAATATTAATCAGAAAAAGGTGCCTAGTGTCTCTCCAAATTGCTAGGACACAAATAGACAGACACCCTGTCCTTGCTATTGAAGAACATTGAAAATCAATGCTCAAATAATAAAACACTAGCAGGTGTGTTGCTTCAAATAAACTTGATAGCCATGAATATAATTTCCCCAGGGTGTTCATAAGGCTTCACTATCGCCAGCCCCCATCAGGGACGACCTTGAAGTGCAAAAATCATCGCAAGAACCCAAGAGCGCAAAGGGCAGACTCACCAGAGATGGATCCAGCCGCAGATGTTGTCTCTGAGAGAGAGAAAGATAAGTAAGATTAGGTGAGGGGAGTTTTGGGGCAGAGAGGTGATGTGGGTGTTGGAGATAGTCACTGGGGAAGAGATTCAGTGCAGAGCAGACCCATCAGGGCAGAGTCACTTGAGCCTGAGGTACTCTCTGGACCTCTCTGGACGAGATAAAGAATTAAGCCACAGGTGAACAGCAGCCTGGGGCTGGGGAGTCTGGGCGCTACTGCAGGCTGTCCCCTGTGAGGCTTCGTGCTGAGAGGAGCAATGCAAATAGTGTAAAACTCTCAAAAGCCACATCAGTAACATAACGTGCTTATTTCTGCTTTCTTATTGAACCCCCCAGTGACCCTCTCAAGCAAATCTTACTGATGCTAATGTCAGCGCTCAACACAAAGCGAGTGGAGAGTTGACTGGCTTGGACCCCAGGATGGGGTCAGGCCAGTCTCGGGCGGTCTGTCCCCGTGGTGAGGGAGCAGGCATGGGGAGCCAGGAGGAGCCTGCCTCTAGGACCCCCCAAACGCACGTCCACAGGGAATCCACACCCCGGCCGCTGTTTCCCGGGCAGGACCGGTGGCACCCTGTTTCGGTCAGACTCTGTACTTACGGCCGGAGACCAGGGCAGTGGACACTGCCACGAGCAGCAGGACAGCCAGGAGCTTCATGATGGTCAGCGGAAGGGCAGAGCGCAGGCGGGACAGTGCAGAGCCGGTGGGTGAGGCGATCTGACTCCACCACTGGACACCCCGACGTTATATGGGCAGAGGGCACCAATCAGGGGCCGTGAGGTCAGAATCCGGGTGAGCTGATGCCCGGAAGTGTTTGTGCTCGGACAAACCTGCCCAGAATCAACAGCCCAGCCAGAGGCTCTTTGGAAGATCATAGCTGCAGCCCCTCAGTTCTGACCCAAAACACAGACTAAATATTGTCCCAGGAGCGTGTCCTCTAGGCTTCCTCTTGGCCACAGGAGAGTCACGCCGGGGCCACCAGCTGTCCCTGCAGTGCCAGCATCCCGTGTCCAGCCTCCCTGGCTTCCTCATACTGCAGTGTTCTCTCCTTAACAGCGGAAAGATCATGGTTTGCTTAGTCCCGTGTCTCCTCAAAGGGGAATCGCAAAGCTAGGCAGCCTGACCTGAGAAACACGCTCCTTAAAATAGGATGTGGGGGTCTCCCTGGTGGCCTAGGGGTTACATCTCAGCACTGTCACCACTGTGTCTCCCCGCTGCTCCCCTCAGCAGTGTGTTTCAGTAGATCTGTTCTGCCCCCCACTCTGTCCCTGGTGAATCCTCCCAGTTCCCCCCACATCTCTGGCCTATACCCCAGTTCTTCTATGCATAAGTAAATACATAAAAATCTCTTTTAAGTTTTATTTGTTTCTGCATACAGAACTGGGGTACAGGCCAGAGGTGGAGGGGAGGTGAGAGGATCCACCAGAGACAGAGTGGGGAGCAGAACAGGCCGACTGGCAAAGTGCACTGCTGGGGGGAGCAGCGGGGAGACAGGCGATGTCTGCTGCCCTGTGGGCCACTTCCTGGGGGGGGATGGAGCTCACACCGAAGGCTGCATCTCCCTTGCTGTGCTGCGCTTCACCCCGCTGTGCCACCAGGGAGGGCCATGAAAATCTTTTTTTAAAAACAGGAGAATTGGCCCTCCCTGGTGGCGCAGCGGGGTAAAGCGCAACACTGAGAATCTAAAGCCGCTTCCGCATGAGTTCGATCCCCGCCTGCCCTGGAGGAGACCACATGGTGCGGCAGACCTCTCCTGACCCGCCCACTGCTCCCCTCAGCAGTGTACTTCCTCGATCTGCCTGTTCTGCTCCCCACTCTGTCTCTGGTGAAGCCTCTTGCCGCCCCTGAGCCTCTAGCCTGTACCCCAGCTCTGTATGCACAAATAAATAAATCTTTAAAAAAAAAACAAACAGGAGAATTAAAATATAAATCAATAAAATCAGAATGTGTGCTCTTAAAATCATGGCCGCCCTGTGCAAGCAGATCAGATTACCTGACACAGGATGCGCCTAACACTGGCGTGAACTGTCCGGATGCAGCTAAGCCCCTTGTGTAGCTCCAGGGGTGGGTGCGAGCCTGAATCCAACATAGGACCAGGTTGTTAACAAAAACAAGTAGCGAAAACTGTTTAAACTGTTTTCTCAAAAACGGGAATGGAAAGGTGTTTTTAATTGTCGTTATCATTAAAGATTTCTTAAAGGAAAATAAAACAAAAGGAGAGTGGTTCAGGCGATGAGATGAAATGTGGGACTTAGACTGAAGATGTTCTGTGGGAGACAGTTTCATATGGGACCTCGTCAGGTCAGTTAATAACACTGTGTGTGTACTTCAGTGAAAAGAAAATGCTGCATCAATCTTAAATTTATTCATGTTGAAAAGTATAACTAGCTACGTGGAAAAGCTGCTATAAAATATATAATAAAGCAATTGGAGAAGAACCATCTCCACACAAGAATTTTCCCAAGGAGCCTCCAAGTGATTTCAGTGTCCAGTCACTTAAGTCGTCCCAAATCAGCCCAAGGTTTACCAAGACCACGCAGGAGTTTGCATGACGCCTTATCCAATGCGCTCACCCATCATTTCTTTGAACACACAGAAGTGGTTGGTGCATAATGTCCCAACATTTCCGATGGTTTGTTAAGCAGAAATGAATGATCACAGTGGATTTTGCTAACAGGGATGGGATGCTGTCGCAACAAAGTTCTAAAGCAGGTACCATTTGCTTTTGGGCAAGGTACTGGATATGTGATATAAGTAATTAGAAGTGATAATTTCCCGAGCCTGACTATCTTGAAGCTCATGTAAGGGATATAGGACATTGAGGAAATAAATTAAGACGTGAAGCAGAGAGAATCTCTGTTATGTAGTAATATCAAGTTGGCAAAACCCTCGCTGCAAGTGAGATGCAGAATATAAAAGTAAACTTGATGGCTGAGTAATATTCCCCAGATGTACAAGCCACACCCTCCTCGGCACTCATCTGTCGTAGGACACTTGGGTTATTTCCATAACTTGGCTATTGTAAATAGCGCTGCAATGAACATAGACAGGCAGGCTGGTGGCATGCATCTGAGGAGGTGCAAACAGGTCCCCTTAAATCACATAGAGTACCGTACACCAGTGTTACCTCAAGAATCAAAATTTCTAAAGAGATATATTTAATTAACTGCTAAATCTGCCCAACTTGACTTCCAAGCAGAATGTCACATTTACAGTGTTTTTTTTTTCTTTGTATATAATACAGATAGTATAGCATAAGTAAGTAAATATAAATAGCATAGTAGAAATCAATAGTGGGAGGAGAAACAAAGAAATTATACTGGGAGAAGATTTCAAATAGCTAGATCTCACAGACTCTCTGAGCCAGATGTGTGCTCTCTAAGAATTTCCAGATGTGTGTTTCTCATCATTCTTGTTAAACTACAAGACTTCTAGAGTCATAAGGCTCTGTCCTTAAGGCACCAGAAAAAGAAAGGTCTGTCTATAAGAAACAGTGAATTCAAATTATTATTACATATAAGTGTGTGTGTGTATATAGAGAGAGGCACTAAATATATTAAACCCATAGCTTGATAACTTTCCAATTAAAAAAATCAACTCTAGATATCTACAGAAAACCTTTGTATCTGAAATGCAGGAAAGAAAACATAGACAATTTTTTCAAAACAAAGTCTTAAATGTAGTTAAGCACACCAGTATGTCCTTGATGCCAAACCTTGAAAATACAAGAAAATAAAATATAATCTTTATCATCAACATAAAACAAAAATGAAAAGTTTTGCCTTATCTACTTATATTCAAAAGAAAAAGAATATTGCAAAAGAAAAAATGAAATAATCAATTTCAGATTTTTGGAAGAATCTGAGATTTTAAAAAACTGAACATTAGTGTCAGTGCATTAGTTTTCTATTTCTTTATACTAATTAATAAAAGTGTAATGCCATAAAAAAAAACCCACAACTTTGGCCCTCCCTGGTGGCTCAGCACTAAGAAGCTTCCTGCAGCCACTGCAGCAGTTCGATCCCAGGCCAGGGAGTGACCCACATGCCACAGCTGACCCCTCCTGTCTCCCCGCTGCTCCCCTCAGCAGTGTGCTTTGTCCATCTGCCTGTTCTGCTCCCCACTCTGTCTCTGGTGAAGCCTCTCACCAC